TCCACCTGCCCTGACTGTGAAGTAGTGCTTCCTGATGTCCTGCCTGAACCTACTCTCAGTCAGCTTAGGCTGTTATTCCTAGTTACTCCTAGTAGTGCTCGGGGGAATAGGGTCTCTCCCGTTCCGTACTGGTCCCCCTTGGTAAGTTTGTAGACAGCCACCAGATCCCCTCTCACCCTTCCCTTGTGGAGGCAGAACAGGTTCAGGTCCCATAGCCTTTCTTCATAGGGCCTGCCCTGCTGCCCCCTGATCATGTGAGTGGCCCTCCTTTGGACCCTCTCAATGCTGTCCACATCCCATCTGAAGTGCGGTGGCCAGAAATGGATGCAGTACTCCAACTGCGGCCTGACTAATGTCACATAGAGGTGGAGGATCACCTCCTTGGACCTGCTCATGGGTGCATGACAAGGTGTGGTTAGCTTTCCTTACCGCGTCCTCACATTGGCAGCCTGTGTTCATCTTGGGATCAATAACGACTCCAAGATCCTTTTCTGCCTCCGTGCATCTTGATGCTTTGATCCCTGTCTGGCGCTTCATATGGCTCGGGGCTGGTGTGCTGCAGTACCATTAGCAATGTCTCCTCCCGACCCTGTGTTGCAGGGCACTGTTTCCCTTGCAGCCAGCAGGAGAGACTGAAAGCAACAGCCAGAGGATAATCGTCATGGCTGCCAGGAGCTGCTGGCTGTCATGTTTTCCTGCCTCTTACAGAATTGTACAGTTAACATTTACCAACCTGAGGCCTCTTCATTGTTTTAGACGGCTCATCCAGAGGGCAGCATTAGTAACTTGCTGGGAAGCCAGGGGCTCTGTCTGACTTAATAAGCCCACCTCCTCACAATGCCAATGGCCAGTGACTGTCCACACTGCTAGGTAGCACCTTGTTTGCATACCCAGTCCCTGTCCCTTCCTCTACCAGTTTTCCTAGAGTTAGTGAGTTACGTAGACTCTGAGAGGTGGTGAGGATGTTCTTTGTCTGTATATCCTTTGTACTGCATTGACTGTTTCTGCCCGGCCAAGCTACTGCTTACAAGCTTGGACTCCTAACTTTTCCTCAAGCCCTCACTTTGATGGGGTGAGCGGGAAGATCATGGGCTGAGAGGGACTCTCTAAATCCACCCAGAGCTGGTTGCAGCAAGCTAGAAGCAGAACCTGGGACTTAAGGTAAATGAGTGATCAGTTCCATCCACACCCCTCACCTGGCCTCAGTCAGCCTTCTCTCTTGGTTCTCTTGTAGAACAAGGTTCAAAAATGCCAAGGGGAAGTCTGCAAAGAAGTCTCGGGACTGGATCTTCGAGAAGAAGGAACGCAGGCGGCGGCAGGGCAAGTAAGTGCCTCCACTTCCCATGTCAGGTCCTACAGAGCAGAGTGGGGCATTCTTTCAGCTGCAGCCAAGGCACTTGGGATCTCTGTGGAGGCAGCCACCAGCAGCACTGAGGTTGGGGCAGGCAGCAGGGTTATTAGCATTGTGCTCCACCTGTTCTTGCCAAGATCCCCTTTGCTTCAGCAGTTTGCCAGCTCTGTGCTTTTTCTGACTCTTCTGCGTTAAGCTGAGTCCCCTCCTGGCTGTCAGTACAGGTCTGCAGGTGGCCCACTGGCTGTTTTGCTTCCAGTACATTTGTGTCCCTTCAGCTGAGCCCTGTCTGTTTCTTTCTCCACAGGGAAGTGCGGGCTGATACAAAATATACCGGCCGAAAGCGACGCCCTCACTTCTGACCCCTTTGGATTTCCTTCCAGTCCCAGTTCTGTGGCAGGCTTTGCATTGACACTGGCACAACCCCTGTGGACCTACCCCTGCACCAGCAGAGGCTGCTGGCACATGCAACCTAAGCCTGAAAGCTGCACGGCCTGAGGGTGTCCATCTGTGACTTCTGCAGGAGGGGCTTGTCCCACTTGAATGCTTCCAGTCTTGTTTACCTGGGAAGAATCTTAGCCAACACTGCAGCCAAGTTGGGGTGCAACGTATGGAGACTGATCCAGCCTTTTGTGGACTTCCTGGGGTGTGCCCTGTTTCCAGCCCACAGGGGCAGGTTGGTAGAGCTGCTGTACAGCCACAGGCAACCTGTTCCTGAACTTGGGAGTGCAGTGTATCCTGGGTTACCTTGTTTCTGGGACCCTTCTTTTGGGGTTCCAGCCCAGTCAGCAAATAGAAGCTCTTTGAGTGTGAGGGTTGCAGAACTGTCCTCTTTGCCAGGCATGCGTGCGTGAATCAGGAGCTGTTCTGTGCTGAGGCAGGTCAAGTGGAAATGAACAGCCCCCTGGTACTTCTCCCTTTCTGAAAGGATATTGAAGGTGTCCTAATACTGTGACCTAACCTACCCTTACCTGCACTGGGCTTGCACATGGTTATGCAAAGTCATCTGCAGCTGCAGTCAAGGACCCCACACAATGAGTGTGGGCAAGTATCCCCACAGGTAGAGTCGAGTTAAGGAATTCATCAGAGCTTTCCTGGATCGCTGTCTGAAACGTAGAGGAGAGCAGCTGCTGCTATATGCTGCTACCCTTCCTGGGCCAGCTCTGACCTGCATAGTTACCCTTCCCCTGTGGCGCAATAGAGCAAGGAGCTGGGGCCCTGCTGTGTGGTTACAAATGTTTATTATACATAAAAATTCCACAAAATGGGAAGCTATTTTGCATCTGAAGCAGTGGGGAAAGGAGGCTTAGCAGGGGATGGACAGGGAGTAGATGGAGAAAAGAGGCAACACAGCATCATCCAGTCCATGGAGACTGAGCAAGCCAGGTTCAAGATCCACATGGAAAACAAGGACACTCAGCTCACGGTACAGCAGTGGTACAACTCCAAGGGGGTCGCTGAACGCTTTCAAGTGCACTGAATTTAAAGAACAAAACACTCCCCTGCTAAGAGTGCAAGCTGCACGTGCCTGACATAGCTCATGGAATACTGCGCAAGACAACCCCCACGCTGGGAGGCCATGTGGCACTTGGAACAGATAATTCTTTAAAAAAGACACCTTGAGATTGATTTTCCTAAAGAAAAAGTGGAACATCTTCCCAAGCACAAGCACACCATTGTGAATCCAGTCTCCACATGCAACATGGGTGGGCAGGGGGGAACAGGATAGGGCTTACCCACGTGCAGGGGTTACAGTACTGGTCCCAGATGCTTCCCTCCCCTGCTTACAGCCGGGGGGGGGGGGGGGCAGGGGGGGATATGGCT